TCATGAATTTCAAAATATATTATATATTATCTGTGTAATAGTCTGGAATATCCAACACACAAAAGAATGCTTATCTTTCAGGGTCTAACTTCCAAACCAGGAATTGATTTTTGATTCCTACAATCATATACAATACAAAAAGTAAATCTTACTTTCCACAATAAAAAACACATACCAACCAGTCATCCACAACCCATGAGGTCCCTCCTCACCTTATTGCCCATCCAACTATCCAGGTCATTGGGCAAGGGCCAGTGATTGACCCTGGCCCGGCCCCTGATCACTGTCCACAGCACCTGCCTCTCAGGAATGCCGTGTGCCTTCCTTAGAGCAGTGGGGCTTGCAGGGTGGGACTCAGGGGCATCCCAGTGGTACATGCTGCAGTAGAAGAGGGTGGTAAGCAAAGACTTGTCGGTGATGTTGCTCACTCGTGGGTACTCTACCAGCATGGGGTTGCTCTGGTCATGTGCATCAGCCTCATCAATCAGGATTTGTCTCTCTAGATGGCCAAAGAGATGAGATGTAAGGAGAAAAAAATGATGATTAAGAGGAGGTTCACTTGTAGTCAACAATTACTCCATAAAGAAGTAAAATGGAAAATCTAAAGATTAATAACAAAAGATTCATTGATGAAACATCCAGATTTTAGAATGTCTGTCTCGCTCTGTTGCGCTACTCTTACCAGCTGATTCATATTAGTTTATGTTTTGTTGTGAAAAAGGGATCCTCATGAACATTTTTTCTACAAAAAAATTAAGATATCTAATTTAATTCTCAGTTTTATCCAAGATAAATATGAATTACAAAAATATGGCTATTATGAATATATACCAAATGAGATCATTCCCATACCTAACAGCTGTATATGATCTTTCACCATTTTTGCTTCATGAGACAGACTAGGATCACTAAAAGATGTCTGCAAAGCCTTCTTCAAGTTAGACAGTTTACTAGCCGTGTCTTTGCTTGTTACAGCCATGTGATATGTTAGAATCTGTAGGAAAAATATTACATTAAAAAGTGGAAATTATGTAAGTAATCTTATTATGGCATACTGATAATCATATCAAAACAATTAGAAAACTCAATTATGTTTCACACAAAACTCACGGCAGCTTCTTCATTTTTCCCGAGCAATCTGTGGAAAAGAAAATACATTTTAAAAAATGTCAACACAGCTAATTCTGCTAAATATCATTCTACACACATAAGTAGTAAATCACCATGTAGCCATAATTGTTTATGACCAATTAACTTGAAACTGATAGAGAAGTCAGTTTACAATTATCTAAAGCCAAGCAAAATAATTACCCCAAAAAGTCAATAGCTTCAGCATAACTATGCCGCTGTTTGAGGTAATGGACGTAAACTTGTGCAGCATGGGACCGTGTTTGCATTTCCTGTAGTATAGGAAATATCAAATAATTTCATAAAATCAAATCTTACTTCTTATAGAGTCCTTTACAATGTTCTAAACAATTTACATTAATAAAATGCAATTAATTAGAGGCATCTCAGAATTGGTGCTTCTAAATTCTTGATTTGAAAAAAACGCTATTTTCAACTACTGCCTCAGGGTCCATATAAGCAAGCATGAAATACATTCCTTTTTCTAAAGTTATGTAAAGGTCACCAATGTACAACTTTCACATGAACAATTCAATCACAAATTTCAAACAAGATTTACTAGCCATACTAGACATGCCAAGTTTCACTGTATCTTTTTTCTGAAACAATCTGAGAAACATTTAATCTAATTGGTATTGCCTAAATATTTGATATTTCTTATCAAAGGTGTATCTTTCTACAGATTTTTAAGATAAGAGCTCAAAATGGCATTTTACAGAGTTCATAAAAATAACCAAATATAAAGTGTTTCAAAGTAACTCATTCACACATGTAACATACCAGAAATAGCTTGACAAAGCTGGAATTCATTAGCATACCACTCTAAACCTACATTATTATCCAGCTCACAGCCTAAACTATGATTCTGCAATTAATCATAACCAAATAAACTACACTAAAATGAAATAAAGGTGCAAGACAGTTAAATGAAAAATATCATAAGCCAGAGCCTAAACCAGGCACTGTCCAAAAACAAAAGAAAAAAAATAGATACATAAATAATTAAAATTTTAAAAAATAACCTCAGTAAATAACCTTGACAAACAAATTCTTTTTAACAGTGTTCTTCATGTGCAGAACAGTGGCCAGGATTGCCCCTCCATCCATAGTGCTTAAAGCCACATCAATCAGCGAGCACTTGTCTTCATGACTACGGTAACTCTCAAGGGAATAGGGCTGACCAAGAACAATTCGATTCACAGTGTCATCAGGAGGGAGCGTCAAATTGTAGCGGGAATAAGAGTTCTGGAATGAAAAAGAAATAGGTAATTAAGTCTAACATAAATAGAAGAAGAATAACAAAATAACACATAGTAAATCATAATAATAAAAGTGTCACTTTGTATAGTCTAATACACAAGTGATGAAGCAGGAGAAGGAGAAGGAGATGGAGATGGAGATGGAGAAGGAGAAGGAGAAGGAGAAGAAGGAGAAGGAGAAGGAGGAGAAGAAGGAGAAGGAGAAGGAGAAGGAGAAGGTGAAGGAGAAGGAGGAGAAAGAAGTAGAAGAAGGGAAGGAGAAGAAGTAAAAGTAGAAGTAAGGAGAAGGAGAAGGAGAAGGAGAGAAGGAGAAGGAAGAAGAAGAAGAAGAAGAAGAAGGAGAAGGAGAAGGAGAGGAGAAGGAGAAGGAGAAGGAGGAGAAGGAGAAGGAGAAGGAAGGAGAAGGAGAAAGGAGAAGGAGAAGGAGAAGGAGAAGGAGAAGGAGAAGGAGAAGGAGAAGGAGAAGGAGAAGGAGAAGGAGAAGGAGAAGGAGAGAGGAGAAGGAGAAGGAGAAAGGAGAAGGAAGAAGGAGAAGGAGAAGGAAGAAGGAGAAGGAGGATTGGAGAAGGAGAAGGAGAAGAAGGTGAGAAGGAGGAGGAGAAAGGAGAAGGGAAGGAGGAGGAGGAGGAGAAGGAGGAGGAGAGGAGGAGAAGGAGGAGGAGGAGAGGAGGAGGAGGAGGAGAGGAGGAGGAGGAGGAGGAGGAGGAGGAGGAGGAGGAGGAGGAGGAGGGGAGGAGGAGAGGAAGAGGAGGAGGAGGAAGGGAGGAGGGAGGAGGAGGAGGAGGAAGAGGAGGAGGAGGAGGGGAGGAGAGGAGGAGGAGGAGGAGGAGGAGGAAGGAGGAGAGGAGGAGGAGGAGGAGGAGGAGGAGGAAGGAGAAGGAGAAGGAGAAGGAGAGGAAGAAAGGAGAAGGAGAAGGAGAAGGAGAAGGAGAAGGAGAAGGAGAAGGAGAAGGAGAAGGAGAAGGAGGAGAAGATGAGAAGGAGAAGGATAGAAGGAGAAGGGAGGAGAAGGAGAAGAGAAGGAAAGGAAGGAGATGGAGATGGAGAATGGAGAATGGAGAGAGAGGAGATGGAGATGAGAGATGGAGATGAGATGGAGATGGAGATGGAGATGGAGAATGGAAGATGGAGATGGAGATGAGAGAGATGAGATGGAGTGGAGATGGAGATGGAGATGGAGATGGAGATGGAGATGGAGAGATGGGAGATGAGATGGAGATGGAGATGGAGAGAGAGGAAGAAGGAGAAGGAAGAAGGAGAAGGAGAAAGGGGGGGAAGGGAAGGGAAGGGAAGGGGAGGGCAGGGGAAGGGGGAAGAGGAGAAGGAGAAGGAGAAGAGATGGAGATGGAGATGGAGATGGAGATGGAGATGGAGTGGAGATGGAGATGGAGATGGAGAATGGAGATGGAGATGGAGATGGAGATGGACGATGGAGATGGAGATGGAGAGATGGAGATGGAGAGGAGATGGAGAGAGATGGAGAATGGAGATGGAGATGGAGATGGAGATGGAGATGGAGATGGAGATGGAGATGGAGATGGAAGGAGAAGGAGAAAGGAGAAAGGAGATGGAGATGGAGATGGAGAATGGAGATGGAGAATGGAGATGGAAGGAGATGGAGAGAGATGGAGTATGGAGATGGAGAGGAGGAGATGGAGATGGAGGGAGATGGAGATGGAGATGGAGATGGAGAATGGGATTGGAGATGGAGATGGAGATGGAGATGGGAGAGAATGGAGATGAGAGAGGACGAAGAGAGAGAAGGAGAAGGAGAGATGGAGATGGAGATGGAGATGGAGATGGAGAATGGGAGAGATGGAGATGGAGATGGAGATGGAGATGGAGATGGAGATGGAGATGGAGAAGGAGAAGGAGAAGGAGAAGGAGAAATATAAAGATGAGAAGAAGAAGGAGGAGGAGGAGGAAGGGAGGGAAGGAGAAGGAAGAAGAGAAGGGAGGGAAAGGAGAAGGAAGGAGAAGGAGAAGGAGAAGGAGAAGGAGAAGGAGAAGGAGAAGGAGAAGGAGAAGGAGAAGGAGAAGGAGAAGGAGAAGGAGAGAAGGAGAAGGAGAAGGAGAAGGAGAAGGAGAAGGAGAAGGAGAAGGAGAAGGAAAGAGAAGGAGAAGGAGAAGGAGAAGGAGAAGGAGAAGGAGAAGGAGAAGGAGAAGGAGAAGGAGAAGGAGAAGGAGAAGGAGAAGGAGAAGGAGAAGGAGAAGGAAGGAAGGAGAAGGAGAAGGAGAAAGGAGAAGGAGAGGAGAAGGAGGAAGGAGAAGGAGAAGAAAAGGAGAAGGGAAGGAGAAGGAGAAGGAGAAGGAGAGAAGGAGAAGGAGAAGGAGAAGGAGAAGGAGAATGGAGATGGAGATGGAGATGGACGATGGAGAGATGGAGATGGAGATGAGAGATGGAAGACTGGAGATGGAGAGGAGATGGAGATGGAGATGGAGATGGAGATGGAGATGGCAAGATGGAGATGGAGATGGAGATGGAGAATGGAGAAGGAGAAGGAGAGGAGAAGGGGAAGGAGAAGGGAAGGGAAGGGGAAGCGCGGAGAGGGGAATGGGGAAGGGGAAGGGGAAGGGGAAGGGGAAGGAGGAGCAGGAGATGGAGATAGGAGATGGACGATGGAGATGGAGATGGAGAAGGAGAAGGAGAAGGAGAAGGAAGAAAGGGGAAGGAGAAGGGGAAGGGAAGGGATAGGGGAAGGGGAAGGGGAAGGGGAAGGGGAAGGGGAAGGAAGGGAAAGGGGAAAGCGGGAAGGGAGAAGGAGATGGAGATGGAGATGGAGATGGAGATGGAGATGGAGATGGAGATCGAGATGGATATGGCGATGGAGATGGAGATGGAGATGGAGATGGAGAAAGGAGAAGGAGAAGGAGAAGGAGAACGGAGAATGGAGATGGAGATGAGATGGAGATGGAGATGGGATGGAGATGGAGATGGAGAGGGAGATGGAGATGAAGATGGCAGATGGAGATGGCAGATGGATGGAGATGGAGATGGAGATGGCAGATGGAGATGGAAGATGGAGATTGAGAAAGGGAAAGAAGGAGATGGAGAATGGAGATTGGAGATGAGATGAAGGAGAGGAGAGAGGGATGATGGAGGAGGGAGGAGATAGGAGGAGGAGAAGGAGAAGGAGAAGGAGAAAGAGAGAAGGAGAAGGAGAAGGAGAAGGAGAAGGAGAAAGGCAGGAAGGAGAAGGAGAGGAGAAGGAGAAGGAGAAGAGAGGAAGGAGAAGGAGAAGGAGAAGCAGAAGGAGAAGCCAGAGAAGGCAGCAAGGGGAAGGAGAAGGAAGGCGAAGAAGAACAGAAAGCAGAAGCGAAGGAGCAGCAGAGAAGCAGAAGCAGAAGAAAGAAGGAGAAGGAGAAGGGAAGGGAAGGAAGAAGATGGAGAAGGCAAAGGAGATGGAAGGCAGAAGCCGAAGCAAAGGAGAAGGAGAAGGAGAAAGGAGAAGGAAGGAGAAGGAGAACGAGGAGAAGAAAAGGAAAGGTGGAGAAGGAGAAGATGAAGGAGGAGGAGAAGGTGAACGGAAGGGGGAGAAGGGGAAGGAGGAGGACGAAGGTGAAGGAAGGAGAGGGGAGAAGGTGAAGGAGGAGGAGAAGGAGGGGAAGGAGGAGAAGGGAGGAGAGAGGAGAGGAGGAGGAGGAGGAGGAGGGAGAGGGAAGAGGAAGAGGAAGAGGAAGAGGAGAGTAGAGAGAAGAGGAAGAGGAAGAGGAAGAAGGGAAAGAGGGAAGAGGAAGAGGAAGAGGAAGAGGAGAGGAGAGAGGAGGGGGAGGAGGGAGGGAGGAAGGAAGGGGAGGGAGGAGGAGGAGAGAGGAGAAGGAGAAGGAGAAGGAGAAGGAGAAGGAGAAAGGAGAAAGGAGAAGAGAAGAAGGAGAAGGAAGAAGGAGAGAGGAGATGGAGATGGAGATGGATGGAGATGGAGAATGGAGATGGAGATGGAGATGGAGATGGAGATGGGAGAAGAGATGAAGGGGAAAGGGGGAAGGGGGAAGAAGGGGAAGGGGGGAAGGAGAAGGGGGAAGGGGAAGGGGAAAGAAGGAGAAGGAGAAGGAGAAGGAGAAGAAGGACGAAGGAGAAGGAGAACGGAGTAAGGAGAAGGAGAAGGAGAAGGAGAAGCATAAAGAGAGAAGCAAAGAAGGAGGAGGAGGAGGAGGAGGAGGAGGAGGAGGAGGAGGAGAGGAGGGGAGGGAGGAGGAGGAGGAGGAGAGGAGGAGAGAAGGAGGAGGAGAGAGATGAGGAGGAAGGGAGAGAGGAGGGAGAAGGAGAAGGAGAAGGAGAAAGGAGAGGACAAGGGAGAGGAGAAGGAGAAGGAGAAGGGAGAAGGCAAGAAGGAGAAGGAGAAGGACAAGGAAGGAGCACAGGAGGAAGGAGAAGGTGAAGGAAAAAGGAAAAGGAAAGGTGAAAAAGCAGGAAAAGGAAGAAAAGGAAAAAGGGAAAAGGAAATAAAGGAAAAGGAAGGAAAGGAAAAGGAAAGGAAAAGGGAAAGGAAAAGGAAAAGGAAAAGGAAGAAGGAAAAGGAAAAGGGAAAGAAAGGAAAAGGAAAGGAAAAGGAAAGGAAACGAAAGAAGAAAAGGAAAGAAGGAGAAGGAGAGAGAAGGAGAAGGAGAAAAGGAGAAGGAGAAGGAGAAGGAGAAAGGAAAGGAGAAGAGAAGGAGAAGGAGAAGGAGAAGGAGAGAGCGAGAAGGAGAAGGGAGAAGGAGAAGAGAAGAGAAGGAAGAAGGAAAAGGAGAAGGAGAAGGAGAAAGAAGAAGAAGGAGGAGAAGGAGGAGAAGGAAAAGGAAAAAGGAGAAGGAGAAGGAGAGAAGGAGGAGAAGAGAGAAGAAAAGAGAAGGAGAAAGGAGAAGGAGAAGGAGAAGGGAGAAGAAGAAAGAAGGAGAAAAAAAAAGGAAAAGGAAAAGGAAAAAAGGGAAAGGAAAAGGAAAAGGAAAAAGGAAAAGGAAAAAAGGAAAAGGAAAAGGAAGGAAAAAAGGAAAAGGGAAAAGGAGAAGGAGAAGGAGAAAGGAGAAGGAAGAAGGGAAGGAGGAAGGGGAAGGGGAAGGGGAAGGGGAAGGGAGGGGAAGGGGAAGGGGAAGGAGAAGGAGAAGGAGAAGAAGAAGGAAGAAGGAAGAAGAAGAAGGAGTAAGCATAAGGAGGAGGAGGAGAAGAAGAGGAGAGGAGAGGGAGGAGAGGAGAAAGGAGAAGGAGAAGGGAGAAGGAGAAGGAGAAGGAGAGGAGAAGGAGAAGGAGAAAGGAGAGAAGGAAGGAGAAGGAGAAGGAGAAGGAGAAGGAGAAGGAGAAGGAGAAGGAGAAGGAGAAGGAGAAGGAGAAGGAGAAGGAGAAGGAGAAGGAGAAGGAGAAGGAGAAGAGAAGGAGAGAGCAGAAGCAGAAGGAGAAGGAGAAGGAGAAGGAGAAGAAGGAGAAGGAAAAAGGAAGGAAAAGGAAAAGGAAAAGGAAAAAAAGGAAAGGAAAAGGAAAAAGGAAAAAGGAAAAGGAAAAGGAAAAGGAAAAAATGGAAATGGGAAAATGGAAAATGGAAAAAAATGGAAAATGGAAAATGGAATGGAAATGGAAAATGGAAAATGGAAAATGGAAAATGGAAAATGGAAAATGGAAAATGGAAAAATGGGAAAAATGGAAAAAATGGAAATGGAAAAAGGAAAAAGGAAAAAGGAAAAACGGAAAAGGAGAAAAGGAGAAGAAGTAGAAAGAAGAATTAAGAAGTAGAAGGAGAAGGAAAGGAAAAGGTAAAGGAAAAGGAAAAGGCGAAAGGCAAAAGGAAAAGAAAAGGAGGAAAAGGAAAAGAGAAAAGAAGAAAAGAAAAGGAAAAGGAAAAGGAAAAGGAAAGAGAAAGGAGAAGGAAAAGGAGAGGGAAAGGGAAAGGAAAAGGAAAAGGAGAAAAGGAAAGAAGAGAAGAAGGAAAAGGAAAGGAAAAGGAAAAGGAAAAAAACAAAAGGGAAAAAGGAAAAAGGAAAAAGGAAAAAGGTTAAGGAGGAGGAGGAGAAGGAGAAGAATAAGAATAAGATCATGATGATGAAAAGAATCAACAACAATATCAACAAGAGCAAAAACATCAGCAACAACAAGGAGAAAGAAGCAATAGCAACATGAAGACCAAGGAAAAGAGCGAAAAGACCAGTCAGGGAGAAAACGGCAGAGAAGCAACTCACTTCCAAGCGTCTCTTCAGCTGAGCAATTTCCTCGTCCTTGGCACTACATTGCAAACAGCTGGCACTCCCTTGACCTGGACATCAGAGGAATTAAAACCATTTTTTTTTTAATTTTATAACAATAACAAAAAAAATCCCTACAACTCAAAAGAAATACGAAAGAGTATTCACGAGACAAGAAAAGTACTCCTGGTGAAGTTTGCAAAATAATCATTCACACCATTTTCAACAAACTGAAATTCAGTTCATTATTTTCATTACCTGAGAAGCACTGTTGTAATCAAAAACATCACTTTCATATAAAATATAATTACCATCACTTGAATTGGCCAACTCTTGGTGAAGAAATAATATGTAGGAGATTTTCTTCAAGAATTCCAATCAGCATAATGACAATCAAAGTTGAAATATCAATGATCCCC